CTCGGGGCCGAAGTTGCTGGAGTCCAAACGGCAGTAGCCTGCTTTTCGTCATTTCTGCACTTTCCGCACTTCTGCAGTTTCGGCATTTCTGCATTTCTTCAAGTCGATAAGTATCTATTGCTTTTCTGCAGATTCCGCACTTCTGCATTTTCCGCATTTCTTCACGAACGCAAGCTATGAACGCGGCCTAACGATTACCGTTTCTAATTTAAATGCAAGCTATTGCTGCTTTCTATTTTTCATATTCACTCCTTTTTATTAATAAATGGGTATTTCCAGAAGTTTTGCAGGATGTCGGTTTCACATGAGAATAAAAATATTTTGGACGCTTCGCATTGGCCAAATGGTCCCCCTTACTACTTTATCAAGGCGCAGATCTTTTTAGAAAAGTGTGACTCCTGCGTTTGCTTCCTATAACGCGCTATATCTATAAAAAGTCTCTAAGAAAAAGCATAGACGAAAACGATGAGAACAAAGAAGTAAAGTAAGAGATATACTCACCTTTCCATCGGGACGTACGACACGTTTTCCGTGTCCAGGGTAGATCTTGTAACCAGAATATACGCAGGTTTCCAACTTCATGGTTGGTAGAGCCCTGGTTCGATGTTACTGCAAAACAACGTCTAAAACCATGACCATTTTCAATTCAGCAAGCATTTTGAATACATGAATAGAAACACCGCTTGTGAGGCGCAGAAGCGCAAAGATTTCTCAAGTGCACGAGGAGCGTCTTCACCGTCCCACTTTACAATTAATTAGCCGTAGATGACGCTCCACTACAACTTGAAACCAGAAGCCAACTGATGCTTTGCAACATTATAATTGTGAATACCAACAATATTCACTAGCGATTCAATTTATTGAAGAAAAAACTTTTAGGTTCTGCGGTAAAAATAAAAAGGAAATATCTACGTTCAAAATGGGCTGCCACGCAGTCTCACCTACTCTTCCATGCGGGACCGCCTGCATATTTCGATGGATTTTTGCAAAAATAAGGCGATATCTGCACTTTATATAAATGCTGTAGTAGTGTAAAATGCTTTGAAAGATGAATTTTCCAGTCTACGCTTGTAAAGGAACTCCGCTCACTTCTTTTGCATTTTTAGGATAGTCCCTGTGATGGAGTTGAGATTTGCGACAACTGACTGCTTGAAAAAATTTTAAATTATGATCTTTCTGAAGAAATTTATAGTCATGTTGTGAAAAGCTCCGGATTGAACCCAAATTATGCTCTTAAATTTTATATGTGGAGTCGTTGGTGTGCTGTTCCTAGAGGGATCCAAGCAGCGTGATTACGGTAGCTCATGCAGACGGAATTTCACGACTTTCCAATTCCCAACGCTTTTTCCTAAATCGCGTTTCTTCGCTAATTATTTTTGGCAGGTTTTGATTATGAGATCTTTCGCGATATAGATAAATTCGATTTGAGTAATTATCCTGGCAATAGGTTGTAAATGTTGCTACTTGTCAGTGGCTTTATTCAATTAAGTTGTTTATTATTAGTAGTGTTAGTATCAGTTGTTACTACATGTTCGTTATTTTCGTCGTTAAGTTAGCTAAGTCTTTTTCACGTCGCAAGTTCCCTTACTGATGAAACAAACTCATTTTCTTTGCAGAACTTGCGGTCAGGATGCTGATTCCTAGCAAAAATAGAAAAGCCATCTATGAGTACCTCTTCAACGAGGGAGTGGCCGTCGCTAAGAAAGATTTCAATCTTAAACAACACCCAAATATTCCCGGAGTGACCAATCTTGAAGTTATCAAGGCTTTGAAGGCATGTTCGAATTCATTATTTTACCAGTCAACTTACATGTTTCCCGTTTAAAAGAAAGATTCACTATGAATTAAACTCGCGAAATAAATATGAACCCCTTTATAACCTTTTCTTTTCAGAGCTTGGCTTCCCGTGAACTTGTTAAGGAGCAGTTCGCATGGCGACATTACTATTGGTACCTGACCGATGAGGGTATCGCTCATTTGAGAGAGGTCTTGAATCTGCCGGCTGAAATTGTTCCCTCGACCGTTAAGAGCAAGCCAAGGGACATCCGCGCACCCACTGACATCCGCGAACGCATTCCTCGCGCAGGTTGGTTTTCATCATCTTGATTTTTCGCATGATAATACATATACTGTATTCGCTTTTTGTTTTCAATATTCATTTATTTATGTTTCATTGAGTTTCCTACTTTCATTACAAAGCTTGCACGCAAGACTGGGTTGAAAGCCTTGATTGGTAGAGAGCGAATGTGTACCGTAATTCAAAAAAAAAACACGATTGAAGCTTCTCAACCAAAGCTGGTCACAGCTGGGCCACGGGGGGGGGGTCATTTTGCATTTTCGATATTTTCTGGTACCGCTCTGCCTTTACAAGAATTGACTAGTACTTTCTACAAACCGTGACTGGTTTCACTTTGGCCATGGCGTCACATTTCATAGAACTGTACTTGATGGCTCGATGCGCAACAATGGGGAGGAAAAAGAAACAAAACACCTTTTCCCTTTGCTGAACAGCGCCTATTGATGTCTTGGGCCCCTTGGTGGGAAGTCCAGGCCCGAGTCCCGGTGTTATGAACCGATGATCATATTGTTGTAATGGTTGCTATTTCATCTCCGGAAGTTCGATTCACTTGGGCCGCCCTTGTGGCTTGAATCGAAAAATTTGTACTGTAAGCATTACCATCAGTGCTTTTTCATTCTTCGTTTCCCTTCAAAGATTATGAACGATCCTGTACTATATTGACGGCGTAGTCTAAAGCTTTACGATAAGAGAAGCCCGATGTGGTTCGTTTTTACCTTCGGATTCCCTCCACTCACTACCGGTGCTAGTTAAGACACTGCACTCACCTCCGTAGACCCTGGTCCTGCGTGGGGAGGTCAGCACCTGCAGTAGCGTGCCGCTTCTTCTGGTCAAAAGTGCACCGGAGAGAGGCTGGAGGATAGTGATACACGGGTGCAGTCTCTCGATTCCGTCGACGCTCCGGCGCGGCCAGCCACACGCCTTATCGTAGCCAAACGCGCTACTCGTCTGCGCCCTACCGCTGGGAGCGTGTTTTGCTGCGGGATCTTGCTTTCAACACGGTGCTGAACCTTAAAGGCAGTTGGCACGATGGTTTCCTACTTAGCCTAAAATGCTAGTAGGGCGCTGTATAGTGGGGAAATGGCGAAAGAACGGAGTGAAACGGTCAAAATCCTGCGAAGAAAAAGCCTCCGTTCTCAGTGACTTGAAATCGATTTCGGACGAGTTTCCCGTAGGCATCTTGCCAATCACCGCTACCGAAGATACGGCTGCATATTCACGCTACGAAGATTATGGCTGCCATATTGGGGGTGTACCCATGTATGCCATGCAGCATTCACGACGCTTCATACCAATCCCTTCGCCTTTGATAATTTGGGGGCTTTAAGGGGCAAAACTGATTGAATGGAGCGGAGGCGGTTCAGGGACGGTCGTCCATTTGTGGGCGGGCGTTTGGGACGTAAAGTTGTGGCTTGATAGGGCCCTTATAAGGGCACCTTCCTCGGGGAAACCGCTATGCAGCGCCTGCCCAGGGTCGCGGAATTCTATCCTGCCAGGAGTATTGATCCTAGTCGTCTTGGGGGATTTATCGTGCCAACTGCCTTTAAGGATAGGACTCCCTGACAACCGTCACGTCATTCTACCAGCTGTGTCTGAAATTCGTAGCGTTATTTCTTTATATTAGTATGCGTTTAAGGGCGCTCCGCGTTGACGTTGAAAGCCTTTTCTTAGTCTGTCCGAAAGCATAGGCAGCGAACTCAAAAACACGAGGAAACTGATTGCGGCAAAGGCGACACCCCGCGCCGCCCAAATCAGTGCCCAACTTTCATTTGTGGAGGCTTACTGGTGGTGCGTTTCTTCTGCTACTAACTCTCCATTGCGAATGGTGAGGGTAAGGTGATAGGGCGGAAGAACTCATATCCTTACGATACCAGCAAGTGAGAACTGGTCAAGCAGCGTCCTCTTTTCGCCTCATGCGCATGCTAGCGCGGTTCATCACGGGGTTTCGAATGATTTTTCTCCTTGTTTCATACTGAACCGGTCACCATTTTGTCATTACTAATTGGTCCGCACAACTCACCATCATTAAAAGCAGGCCGTGCCTTTAGCAAGCAGCTGTTTGATTAGGTGTATGATCCTAGGTCCAGTGCGGTCAGGCGGGGCGTGGGTTAGTAGGATTGTTCAATTCCAAGTTTACGTCGAAACTTTTATAAAAGGTGTTGTAGATAATCCATGATCTGTTTCTTGTGGTTTTGCGAGTATTCTGTTAATTCGTTACTCCTCAGTTCCGCGAGATTTGGAAAGTATTTCATCCTTCGCTTCTAAAGGGCCTGACTCGGTATTCCAACGTAATGGTAGTTTAATGATTACTAGTTGCAATAACGCGCGTGCCGGAGTTCCTGATCAGTATGGTGTGAATTCTGTTTAACTACAGTTTCGAAACTGCGAAATATGGAGCCGATTAAATATCAGTGACAGTAGCCCATACGATTGTCATATGAAATAAATTTCGACTTAATAGCTGAAATATTGTCAATGAACGAGTTTGAGAATGAGAGATTTTTAGAGAACTCATTTTGGTCCAGAAAAAAAAACTCCTATTGCATAAACGAGGGACCATACTCCGAGAGCTAGACAGAAATTCCCAAACTCTGACGCCTTTGCGGGTAGTTTACGTGTTTTAGGCACTCCTTAGTTCAGTAGCTGCCCTTTTTGAATTCCATGGTGTTCCTTCTAATGTTCAGTATCGAGGTAATTATCTGTTTTCCTGGAAATCTGTCTTTCGTTTCTATGAAGCCGATTTAGTTTTGTTACGGTAACTATTGTTCATGGCGGAAGTTAGCGAGCTATCACAAGAATGTTGAGTTACCGACAAAATTTAGCATACTAGTTTGTTATGAATTTGAGGAGGTCTAATTTATGGTCGAAGGTTAGTACTTCACCCCTGCGAGGATCAGGTCCAAGTTGGAATCCTGGCTGGGAGTAACTCTTTTGCCCCTGATCGCAATTTATCTTGTTGTTATAGTCTCGTTGGCTGCGGATGATGGGGCGTGTCAGGGATAGATCTGACGCAGCACTACCCCGTTTCTTTTTTTTCTGCGAACGACCAAACTGTATAATATCGTTCGAATCAGTCGTTTCCACGAGTCGTTTGTGTTGCCGCTTACCCGCTTTAACAACTGGTGGAGCACGGGCTGGCGGCCCGCAATTCCAGCCACGGTGATCCACCCCATTATCTGCAGCGAAACGTAAATCGTAAGAGGGTACGTGATTTGCTTTTTTCTCTCTCAACATCGTCGTTTTCAATGGATTCTTTCGATTATATTACAAATGAGGCGGAGGTGGTGTAGTGACAAGTGGCGCGCTTACCACTCGCGCGGCGCCGGGTTCAAATCCCGGGTCGACTCCCGCCCAGGCCAACCAAGCCTTCTACCCTCCGGGGACGGTAAATTGGTACCAGATTCGTC